GAGACAGGAAAAAGAAGTGGCACATATCGCCATCACTCAGCTTTGCTATCAAGAATTTGAAGGTGAAAAGATAAGATTTGGGGAAAAGTATACCAAGACGTCTGCATCATCAAGAGAAATAGTCATCACATTGCCACAGACCTTCAGAAATTTCTATTCTCCAGCAGTGCTACACGAAGGAGCAAGGAAAGAAGATGTAGAATTTAGTGAAAGTGATGGCACGCTACGAATGAGCTATAGTCTAGTTGAAAAGAAAATATTCCAGTTCACTGTCGATGGCATCCTTGATTGTGTGAAAGCAGCATTTAAACAACTGGATGATAATATCAACACAGTTTATTTAGTCGGAGGGTTTGGAGGTTGCAAGTTTGTTCGTCGGAAGATTGAGGAAGCTATCGGTGAATATCATGGAGCTCTTTACGATAATACAGTCTGTCCTCAACAATCAGATCTTGCTGTTGTACATGGAGCAGTAATGTGGAGGAAAGACCCTAGCATCATTCAATCACGTGCTGCTGATGCTGCCTATGGGATAGGTACTGGTCCTGTTTTTAACTCATTAGTCCATGATGAGCATTACAAGTTTGTAGATGAAGATGGCATACAACGTTGTAATAATGTATTTGAGGTATTCGTACTTAAAGGAGAAGTGGTCAAGGATGAAGAATACAAAACCACAATAATACCTAGTCATCAAAGAAGCACTCGAGAATATATTTCTATATACTCTACAACAGATGATGGAGTTCAATATGTACGAGATAAAGAAGGAAAACTAACAGTACGTAAGATTGGTGAATTAGTGATTGATGTTCCTAATCCGGAAAATAAACCAAGAAGAGAGAGAAAAGTGGACATTTTTATGGATTTCAGTGGTACAGAGATACGAGCTAGAGCTCAATATCGTATCACTGGACAAGAAGTGAAAACAGTTTGCGACTTTCTATCAAACCAAGACTGAACATTATGTGCATCATTTTTGTATTTTTAATTTTATAGCATAGACAGTAGAAATAAGGCGTGGCAAAATTGGTGAATGATGGCTTCAAATGTTTCGAAAGAACCACTTTCACGAGCGGAGAGAGTAGAGAAAGAGCCTAGTTCAGTTGTACATCAGAGAAGCAATTACATAGCGGCTATTGACTTTGGAACCTCGTCCCTATCAGTAGCATACACCACTCCAATGGATGGGGGCGAAACAAGAATTCTTCAGCTCTTCAAAACCTATGAGAGAGTCCCCAATGCTATACTGCTAAGGATAACTGATGATGGAGAATGTGCAGTTGAAGATATTGGGCTAGAAGCACAAATACAGTATAGCAAACTAAAGGTTCAAAGCAGAATGAATCAGGTCTATTTTGAAAGAATCAAGAATATATTGTATAGAGACAAGGTAGACCAATATTCATTCATTTATAGATCTGATACCATTTTTACTCTATAGCATGTAGATCGTAATACCCAAGTTCCTTCGTTCACTGGAGGATCTTATTATCTCATTGAAGTTATAGCTTTTATCATAAAGCACCTCAAGGAGAAGCTATTGGATGATCAGCTGAGGGGCCAGTACAAGGCAACTGTTTTTGATTGGGTCATTACTGTCCCTGCTATATGGAAAGCTAGGGCAAAAAGAATGATGAGAGAAGCTGCTTATATGGTAATAGTTGAATTACTTATATTATTTATATGCTGTATACACTATAGGCTGGTCTGACTTCTGATGGTCCTGGTATAACAAAATTTACTCCAGTAGGAACTCAAGTACCTCGTCCAGAGGAGGTTAATCCTGACAAGTTATCATTAGCTCTAGAACCAGAAGTAGCTGCCATATATGCTCAGTATTACTCATCAGTAGTTGGTCCTCCTCCACAGAGATATATGGTGGTTGATATAGGAGGAGGTACAGTTGATATTACTGTACATGATAATAGTAGTGGGCAAGTAAGTGTAATATTACCACCAATGGGGAACACCTGGGGAGGAACAACCATCAATGAAGCTTTATCTATGCTCCTACAAGATATTGTGGGCGATGACCAGTT